AAGATGTGAGATCCCCCCTGGAGGATGTGAGGCCCCCCCTAGAGGATGTGAGGTCCACCCCCAAATAAAGCAGGTTAAAATTATTAAATTGCATACATTTTCTTTTAGTAAACACTGAAAAGGGGTCCCACAGACCCAAACAGCACACAAAGGTTAAAGGTAAGCATATAATATATAAATATAAAATATATACACTGCAAAAAACAAAAAAAAGAGGAGTAAAAGTAGCCCCCGACATGCTTTATTTTTTGAAAGTAGCCCTCATACTAAAAAAGGTTGGTGACCCCTGGGCCAAACTAACTTTAAATAGGCTTTTTTTTTTTCAGAATAAAACGAATGTCGGCCATGTTTTTTTTTCTGCAGTTAGAAATTTGAAGATCACGTCACATAGACGCCAGCCATTGGAATTGAATGGTGAAAAAAAACGTAAGGATCTTACAATTTCAGAGGAGTTTTTGTAGAAATACTACGTCCCAAGTTGTGGACCAACGTAGTTATTACACGTTTTTTTGTGAGACTGGGTTGGAACATCAGCGCTCAGACTGCAGAGATTGTGGAAATATTTGGATTGTGACTACATTTAGTCAAATACAAATGTGAGCTACTTGACATGTGCTGCTTGCTGATATTAATGCAGAACTTTGGGAATGTACTTTCAGCTATGAGAACATTTATTTGACAGCAATTGTTAGTTAAGATAAATAACATATGAGGATCTTGTGAAATAATTCCTATAATATATTGTATTAACTTCCCTAAAGTACATAAAACAATAAATACTAGCTTTACCATGACCGGAAAACAGTAAAATGCCACGTACAGTCTATTAATATAATCTTTTTTTAATGAAATATGCATCATTTTTTAAATGTGTGACGATTTATGTATTCGTGTGACATTTTAACACTTGACTTCCAAATTCATATTTTGTTTGTATTGCAGTTTAACAGTTGAAGATCAGAATACCTCTCCAGTACTATTTGGTTGGCGAGGACTTTGAGCACGTATCAATCTGCCCTGTCTCCTCTACTGTTCTTTTGTTTTTGACTAGAGGATGATACATGTTTCAATGGCAGTCATTTCTAAAAATTGATATTTAGCATTTTGGCTGGAGCAGCTTCCAGGGGACCGGCTCAGAGACCCCCAGCCCTGCAGCTGCTCCGTCTTGCTGGAGCGTCTCTCTCTCAGTTGCTCCCTGTTGCAGGGCTATTGCACACGTCCTCTGGGGACTCATCCTCCCTCGCTCCCTCTGTTTCTGCCTGGTTCTCCTTTCTCTCTGTATCCATTACTTGGACACTCCCTTTCTCTTTCTCCCTCTGTGTTCTCCCTCCTACTGCTTTCTCTCTTTATCTCACTCCATCCAACTTTTGTCCCCATGTCCTCACCCACTCCCTGTCACAGTTGATCTCTCCTTTCATTGGCTCTGTGGCTGAGCTGCGCCCCCTTGTGTCTCAACAGGCACATCACACCTTCCCAGTATAACCAGCAGCTGTCCCAGAGCGGGGAGGGATATCCAGTCCTAGAATAACATGTTGGGCTGCTCCTCTTCAGCTCCCAGATTACATCAGTAGGGTTTCAAAAGCTCAGTCTCAAGAGGAGAAGCATATATATTTCAGATGCTTCAACCAAAATACAGATGTGATGGATGTGTACAGTGTACACAGAATAAATGCATCAGAATCAGGCTTATTGCTGTGTCTCAGCACCTATACTCAGTGTTCGAAGGTAACTAAGTACATTTACTCTACTAACTCTAGTACAACTTTAGGTACTTCACTTGTTTATTTTCACTTCATGCTACTTTATACATTTATGCAATTTTTGTATTCGCTACATTTGTTTTATAGATTTAGTTACTAGCTATTTTGCAGATATAGATTAATAATACAGAATACAAAGTAAAATAATACATCATTACAAATAATTGTATACAATAATGATTTAATATTTAAATCTGAAAGGTCATACGGCATAAAGAGTTAGTTTTGTATTAAAAGTATATTTTGATGACAATAGTTAAATACTTGCATACGACTTTGATTGCAGTACTTTCACTTGTAACAGAGTGTTTTTAGAAATTAGTAATGGTACTTGTATTTAAAGGGGACCTATCATGCAAAATGCACCTTTGTACGTCTTTTATACATGAATATGTGCCCTCCTCCAAGTTTACAGTAAAAGAAACTGGTGGTGTGACCAATGGCCATTTACAATTATTAATACTATTACTATTATTAGCATTAGTCTATATTTTGGTTGAAACTATGCCAGGAAAAAAAAGAAAAACATGAATAATAATAAAAAAATATATAAATAAAATCGAATTTTAAAAAATAATTTTCGATTATGGAGACTGTAACGAATATTTGAAAAATCGAATAATTACTGGCATCCCTATACTCTAGTACAACTTGAGGTACTTCACTTGCAAAATGCACCTTTGTACGTCTTTTATACATGAATATGTCTCCCCAGTGTGTCAGGGAACTCACCAAGTGTCAGAAAACACAACCCTCTCTCTTTTCCTCCATACCCAAAATCTCTAAAAACGGGGCTTTAACGGATCTGATACAGACTGATACAGATTTGAAAATAGTCTGACGTCAGTGACGAGGAGCTCCGCCTATATGGCCAACTCTCCACTAATCAGGGGAATGAGAGGTTGCCGTAGCATGGTAACAGCATGGTAACATGACGCTCGTGCCTCGCCCCCCAGCTGCAGCTCATGCAAAGACAGGGTGGAGGAGAGCGAAATAGAGCGAAATGAGGCATGGCTAAAATGCATGATCTGTTAGGTATTTTGAAAAAGAAAATATATCTTATATAGTTATGGCCCTACAATATATTGTTCAAATATAGCATGATAGATATCCTTTAAGTAAAAGATCTGAGTACCTCTTCCTCCACTACCGTTACTGTAATATATAGGCTAAAGACTGTGTGTTGAGTAACACTAGAGGGCACTGTTCTGTCAGACTGATGCTGGGTCTGTCATTATCATGAGTCACTGCTGTGTCCCAGCCTTTCATTAAGCACAACAAGTAGAGGTAAAAAGGTAAACAACAATACAAATAGCTGTAAACAAAGACTTCTGAGTGAAATAAGAGCTGGGAGTGTTTGATCACATAATCCCCAACATCTGTAGACTTCATGAGATGTACAAACTCATTTTAGTCCCTTGCTAAATTATGGTCCTATAGTGCTCGGAATCTGAAGTAAAACAAATAAAGAATATGCCATCATCAGTTAAATGCATTCGTTCAAAATTCTACTAAAGTACAGAAGAGTTGGGAGTGAGAATGTGTTGTTTTAACGCATCAAAGTCAAATCAATCATTATGCAAAAATAATGGCCCCTGATTGTGATTTGTTATTACATATGACATTATTAGATTTTAACTGATGCACAATTGATTAAGTACTATTTTACTGCTGTAGCTGTAGCGGCCCCTCTAAGGGTCATAAAATGAATGAAATAATGAATGATTTAGAAAAAGAGGGAAAAATACATTTATTTACGTGCATTTTGGGACTTTTACCTAACCTTTGAGATTGAATGTTGGATGTTGTATATTTTAACTTCTTTGGGACTCAATCAGTTATTTAAATGAAACCGTTTTAGGGTGTAAATACCAACGGCTCAAACATCTGAAGTGTCAATCACTGTCACTGTCACAACTTTTCAGATAACTTTAAGGGAATATATTGTATTAAGAAGCATATGGAAACACTTGAGCTCTAACAGTTTTGTGAGTTCATGTTGAAATAAATAAATGTAAGTATCTCACCAGATGAGGGCGCTGTTGTCATGGTATAGTCAGCATGTAGGCCTAACAGAAAGGCTTATAAAGTGCATAACCTTGTAAACTGCAGATGACAAGTGGAAAAACAGGAAGCAAGCAGAAAGGAAACCATTTATTCAGCTTGAGGGTGACTCACTGAGGGTCTGTTGGACCAGTTTACCTGGTGTTTCATATTATAATATATTATAATCAATTTCCTGTTTCCTAAAAAAGTTATATCATCTCATTGTGTATTTCCTCGCTCAACCTGACTTTGACCCAAAACCCGCCCACTGCAGAATGTCGATCAGACGTTTATTGAAGGCAGCCAGTTAGATCATTGTGTGTGTGTGTGTGTGTGTGTGTGTGTGTGTGTGTGTGTGTGTGTGTGTGTGTGTGTGTGTGTGTGGCCCCCAGGAGATGAAAGCAGCGCCTATCTATTATAATGCAGAAGCAAGAGACATCCGATTCTCTAAAGAAACACCCAAAAGAAATTCAGCACATTTCCAGATATTATCATTTTGACATATCTTAGATCTCTATCTCATTTACGAATGTCCGGTATGGATCAAGGTATGTGATGTTGCATTAGTGTGTATCAGACAGCAGCACACCTTACAGTAAACACTCTTTCTGGATTATTGAAGTTGATGACTTTTCTATTAGTCAACCTAAAACATTCCTTAAACTAATAGCCCTCCGTTTTTTATGAATGCTTTCAAAACGACATTTTGACTGCCAAGGCACACA